GCAAAAGAATCAATAACATTGAACCAACACATTTAAAAGTCCTAAAATGTATCTTTCTAGACATTCTTGCAAGCACAATGCTACTATATTTCTCTATGGCAGGACAGTGTCAACTTTCAAGTTTTAAAAAAGGAATACGATAATATTCATAAAACTAATGAAACTAATTTGTATTACAGGTCAGAAAATTCAATAAGCAATAGTCCAAAAACCTAAAACAATACAGAGTATAATTTAAGGAGGTAAAACAAAAATGATGATACGCGTACTCAGGGCCGAAATGATGAATCAAATTGAAGGAGGGATATTGGAAAAAGTAAAACTAAAATCAATAGAAAATGTACATTGTCTGGATAGAGAAAAGAACTTACAAGAACAAACAACAAAATCCATGGAAAACCTTCTGAACATTTGGAGCTAAGTATTTATAACTGGCGGAGGCAAACCTCTTGAGTTTCCGGATAGACCGTTACCGGTCGATTGTGATTACTTAGAGCCGGAACTAATGTTAATAATAGGAACTCGGAAGGGGAGTTGGAAGGAGGACTTGCGAGGGGGTGTACCGAGGCAAATTAAAATTAAATGAAGGATTGATAGTTTTGTTATTAAATACTCCTTTTTTTAAGAATTTAAATAGTCCATATAAGAAGAGATAAAAAATCTCTAACAAAGTGGATGGAGAGGTTATGGGATCCGTCAATAAACGGAAGGATTAACAATGCTAAATTAACAAAGGGTAAGACACAACGGTTAAAAGAAAAGTTAGAGTTGCAACAAATGAAACATCATGTACATCCTGTTTAAGCATGCAGAGACACCAACACTTTTCATATGATCGTTATAACCTTAACAACATTCACTCTTATAATATTGTAGAGATATATGGACGGAAAAGAACGTTTCTATTTGTTGGGGTTTGAGACTCTAGAGGGGTTTGTTAAGGTTATTAAAAGCCATAAAACCAGTGTGGTGGTTACCTCTCAAAGCATCTCTAATAAGGTGTGGGGTCTCTTTAACACCTTTACAAAGGTTCATTTTTTATCTCATACTACCCCGTCCCCTTAGTATTAGTAGAAGAGATGGTGTAATTATCGAGAAAAGGATTTTATCTATTTGAAATTGAATTGATAAGTAGGAAAAAAGTAAAACCAATTTAAGAGCACACAAGCCTTACTAAATTTGATATGAGACAATCTTAATTAGACAGACAAAAAATAAAGAACGGGGCAATCTTGACTTAATGGAGTCATTTATGTGTGTGTGTGTGTATGACTCGCATTATTCTCGATTTGTTTTGATTTTTCATTTTTATAGCTTTTTAAAGCCATTTTTCATTTTTTCTCTACTCGAATCTCGTGTAATATTCATTGGAGGACCTCGATATAGACCTAAGTCTACAATTCATCTCCATCTTTCTTTCTTCTTTTTCATTTTTTCCTACAAACCATTTTATTTATATCAAATAAAAATGATCATTTTATCTTTATCTTTCTCTTATGACATCTCACCACAATTCACCCTCCAATTGGAGATGTCCTTAATGAGAGGGTTGTTATCTATGTGCTTTCACTTTGAGAGTTTTCGTCTAAATCCCACTAGGAAGAAGGCAATGTGTCACTTTTTATACATCCACGTTGTCTTCTTTTTTACGACGTTTAGACAAACCCTTCAAAGTGAAAAACACATGCCCCAATTTGTGAAAAATGAATTTCAGGCCTCTATTTTTTTGAAAGGAAACTTGCTTATATTAAAATAAATTGCAATCAAAAGAGTACATCAAATTCAAACTGAAAACCCAAACTCCCACTAGACTCAAAAGCTGAAGAGTCTCTCGCTCTATGATTAGACATAGAATTAATCACTATCGAATGAGGATACCAAATCGCAAACCATGTGACAGTTTTGAGGACAAATACGGATTTTGTAGACACAAATCTTTTGACCAGGGTGATAACCACCCTAGCAACACAACTAACTCCGCTCCAACCCAAAACATTATTGAAAGCAGCGTTGTGAAACGGAAATAAATACTTATGAAAACTAACACAAAAAATTAAAAATCCTTCAGGTGCCCAAATCCACATTGGAACTGTTAACTTTCAATCCATGGCATCTTTGTCACTCTTGGGCGGCGATTCAGAAGGGAGATGAACCGTCAACACTCCATCTTCCTAGACGGCCACCCACTGATTGTAGCGATCAACGATAGCTACAATCTCCCAAACAGCTGATTGTAGCCCCAATTCACCTCTTTCTCTGAACTCCAAACCATTAATGATCCATCCAGATAAATCGGCGTTGGTGCAACTTCCATCCCAGCCAACAACAAAGCCAAAATAGCCAAAACAAATATCGGAAAATCAGGCCTCCCAACCCTAACCGACGCAGATCACATCCACCTCCAATTCCGGTGAACACCATTGACATCACCCCCGCACGAAGAGAAGATGGCAAAAGCCCTGAGCTTCAATCGACATAGAACGCCACACAAAAAGCCTTGCACGAGAGGGCTCGCGAGGGAAATCTAGTCGCATATGAAACTACTCTCTTCCGCATTGTACCTCATGCCTCTATTTAAAAAGCCTCAAACCACGTAGACCTTTATTGTACTCTTCCTTTTTTTATAATAAAAATTAACTTCGGTGGCTATTAATTGGGGTTATTCCCTTAATATTACTAAATTAAACTGAATTTCTAAAGATGTGAGTACTTTTAAAAATTGACAAAAAGTGACTAACAAGGTCATATAGATGGAAAACATAATGTCATTGCACAAATTTGCCACTGCGTTTTTTATGTCACTGAAAGTGGTTACCGTCAGTTTTTTCTCAAATCAATTACACCGCCATGGTGACACCCTCACCGGTGACATCGTCATGGTGACACCGCCACCCCCACAGTGACACTCCGGCAGAGTAACTCCGGCCTCCACCGTGACCGTCGCCGCCGGTCATCATCACAACGAGTTTATCCGGTGAAAATACTAGAAGTCCTCCCCCTAATCACCTACTCCACCAACTCTCCCTGGCCTACGCCACCCAGCGCCGCTCAACCCCCGCCACAACCAGGATTGCCTAAGCGCCGCCCAACGCCGCCACCACCTTACCCGTTCCACACCACCCAATCGTGAGTCTCCAACCCTAGCTCCTACCTCCATACCAGCCTATCAACATTGTCATAGCCCTAGCCGTCAGCCAACCACCACCGCGGTGTTGCATTACATCACAAACGCCCCGCCGCCCCGCTCTTGAATTGAACCTTAGCATTTAGATCTGAATTTCGGCATGGAGTAGGGGAGGTCGACAGATGGGTCACGGACAACTGTTATGGTGCTCGGCGATAAGGTTGAAGATGGTGGTGAGGTCGACGGCGCAGTTGAAGGTAGTGGCAACCATCTCGACGACGCAGCCGAGGGATGCGACAAAGGGCGTCGAACGAGAAGGAAAGAGAAGCGTGTGATGTGCGAGTTGAATCATGTGCGTAGGGCGTAGAGTGTGCAGAGGCATAAGCCGGTAAGGTTAATCACTTTTTGATCTTTATTTAAATCAGTCATATTTTGGCCCAATAAAACTCCAGCAGTGATATTTGGGCCATTCTTTCCTATCAATTTATTTAACCATAAACATTTCTTGAACAAAAATCCAAATAAAACTAGATCCAAATTAGTCATGTATGTTTGTTAGATAGTAATATGTTTTAGAAAGAAAACATAATTAAAAATAAGAATAATTAAGTATTTGAGGTCCAATCGGTCCGAACCAGGCTCGATTGGAACCAAAAACTTCAAAATTTTGGATCGAACACGAAACCAATATGTAACCATTTGAGTTTGATATGGTTCGTTCTGATTGTACGGACTGAACGGGAATATGCTCACCCATTGTGGTCTTGTGGATATGCTGCTATTATTTGTATCAAATAGGGCGTATAATATCGCACCAATTGTTTGTGAGAAATAAACGTCTCAAAGTAGAAAATGTAAACCTTTGTGATAAAATATTGCGTCATTTTAATCGAAAGAATATCCCAAATAGGGCAAAAAATAATCCAAGTTTTAAAAATAGGATTAAATAGTTTAAAAATTGGATCCTACTTTTGAAAGAAGGTTATATTTTGATCTTACCAAGAGCAAGTATCTCGTCCATTTTCCACAAACAGGACCAAATAATACCGAGTATAAACATCATTAAATGACTTTTTTTGTGATTGAACATCATTATAAGGTTAGAGTTACTGGCCTGCTACCTAGACGGAATCTTTTTAGCCACCGACCGCCGTCTGAATTTCTTTCTAGAAGCCCTCTGCTGCGCTGCCCAAAAATCTGCCGCCTCGACTACCGTTAACTCGGGCTGCCCTCTCACTAAGAAAATTAGGAGACAATTAATATTATTAATTAATTAAATTAAGAGCAGAGATGTATGAATTAAACCTAATGAAAATAAAACCTATAATTGTTTTGAGGGAAAATCGCATATATGGTCCCTCATTTATGCACGAAATTAAAATCTCAGAACTATATTTCTAAGATCGTAAATGTCACCCTTCAATTGTCTAAACTGATGTAAATGTGGTCCTTTTGAGGGGTGAAATGTACAATGTGGGCGAGAGTACATTTCACCATCTAAAGGATTACATTTAAAATAGTCCGTAATTTGAACAATTTAGGGGTGACATTTAAAATCTCAGAAATATAGGGTTGAAATTTTAATTTTGTGATAACTGACCAACCATATATTTTGCCATTTTGGTTGTGAACAGTTTTCTCTGTAATCATCATCTCCCTGAGTCCCTTCTCCCTTGAAAGACACATACCTAACCGAGCAGCCGCCGGCGACCACACTAGGAGAGACTCACAGCGGAGACCAATGGGCAGCGGCAAGGAGAAGAAGGCTTTTACAGAGACTCGTAAAAAGCAAAAGAAAAAGAAAGAGTTGTCCCTGCGGCCTAAGCAATTGAAGACCAAGAAGAAAAACACACGCAAGGGGAATGGAAAAGACATGGAGAATGAGAAGACTAAGACCAGTACCGTCAAAAAGGGAAACGGCAAGAGGAAACAAGGAAACAGCGTCATACAGAGCCCAACAGTGTCGGAGCAGCTCGACTTCTTTATCCACCAATACCAATCTGCCAACCGCGTTCAGCTTTCTTCTCTCGAACTCGAATCCTTCAAAGGTTCCTCCTTTTCCTTACTATATGTCATTCACAACTTTACAGTGAATGACAGTTCATTTTTATTTTTATGCCGCATTCGTTTACCTTTATGGCTTTATCTAATTGTATTCCAATAAGATGTAAGGACATATGCATGAATAATCCATGTATGAATAGTGGTCAGCTCCAGCTTTACTTCTACAGATTAGTGCTTCTAATATTGGCCAAAACTTTTAATTTCATTTTATTGGGTGTGGGGTGGGTGGTTTTATACCAGTAGTATATAAGTGCAATCCATATGCAGAGAATTGATGCAAATTCAAAGCTGGGTATTGGCTGATGTCTACTTATATATATTTGGATGTGACTAATACAGAGTATGGACAAGATTGGGAATTGGGATTAACGGATTAAGCATTAGTCCATCAAATGAGAAGAAGGTTAGTAATTGGTTGAAATGATATAGGCACAGTTACCACTATACAAGGTAAAGATAGATTGAACTGGCGGATGTGATTCATTAACTCTCCACAAGAAAATTATATAGAGTTGGGGGAAAGCTGCTCTTCATTATGTATCAGTGCCTGATCCATATGGAACATACATACTGGGTGTATAGTTTTAGTATCTGCACATTTTAGACTCCAACTGTGGAAATATGCCAAATATTAAAAACAAGTTGATATGAATAAAACTTAGAAAATAAGTATCAGGCAATTCCTTATTGATAATTCCTGTTCAATTTTTAGATGTGAAGGGCGGTAAAAGGAAAATGATGACTGATGGGCTTAAATATCTTGGAGGCAAAACTAAGAGGGGGAGGAAGAAGAAGTAGATGACATTAGCTTATACTTGAGCATATTCTTTTCATTGTGGTTTTTCCAAAGCATGAGAATTTTCCTCATTGCCTTGATGACTGATTCTCTTTTTTGAATAAACTTGTTTTCATGAGATTTTATTATGTTGATGGGTTTGGCTAATTGCAATAACCTAGTCATATTCATGTCAATAAACTCCTCTCAGGCTCTCAGTAAAGGACATTAAAAATCTAAAACTGGACACAAGAATAGGTCGATTTTGTCTTCCATCTTTTATGTGCTGATTCAACTGTCTAACGATGTCAAAACGTCGTGTGAGATATAAGATACTCCTTCCTTTCCGCTAAGATTGTCTCATCTTTTATTTTGGGTCCATCCCACTAAGATTGTCCCCATAGCAAATTTGGTAATGTCTGTGAGGTTCTAAATCATTTTGACTTTATTCTCACTTTATCAATTCAATATCCACCACATAAATACACTTTTCTTGGTAACTGCTCCACCTCCTCTTGTACCAATGTTAGGGGGCTGGAGGTAGTATTAACATATTCATACTTATGACCCTGTGGGTATAATAGTTAGTGGTGAACTGGTGATGTATATATTGTCAAATTAACTTATACTTTTGTTGCATCATGTAGATACTTGCATGGTTGAGCTCCTCCGAGATGAAACTAACAACACTAGAACTCTTGGAGAGATTATGAAGGTTGCTTTTGGACCTTCATGCAATTCTCTTCTCTGTAAAAATACACTTGAAGCTGGGAAAGTTAACCCTGGCCATCCAGCACTTCTTGTGATTAGCTCTTCTGCTATAAGATCCCTGGAACTTCTGAGGTGATGACATATTGACATGTTTATTTGACAGTACACAACTGACCACTTGATTACGTGTTCTTCAATAATTACTTGAGTTGCATCATGCCTTTTTTCAGGGAGTTGAGACCATTTACTAGGGAATGCCCTGCTGCAAAGCTTTTCTCTAAGCACATGAAGATTGAAGAGCAGGTTTTGGTTTACTCTACTGCAAATCTCTGATGTATTAGAATTTTGATGAACGGTGCTTCCATAAGGAGAACCACATTCTAGAAGAAAAAAACAAGTGTGCATATATGTAGTGACATGGTAGCATTTGGTGGAACTTGACCCCCAGTAATATTTGGTACCTGTATCTACAGAAGAAAAAGATTCTTCCCTTCTTTACTTATACTTTTGTTGATAAATACATATGCTTAGATATATGACATAGATAAACATAAGACCTTGTCGTTTCTTAAATCATAAGGAGTAACATTTACCTTTTACCGTTTATATGCTTACAAACTCTCCTATTTGCTCACTTAAATGAGTTGTACACTTTGTGCGCATTTGGTAACCTTGTTTTCCGTCTTATCAACCAGATACTTTACCAACACTGTATTATTTTTACACAGTGAATTCTTTAATAATGAAAAAAATGTAAGATTGGTGGTACCTTTTTCTGCCAAATTGGCTGAATTTGTTAAAGAGGCTCATTTTAGTGTTTTTAAAAGAATTTTTCTCTACTTATTAATAAAACATATTTGAAATATAGTTTTATCATAATTGAGCAGATTCGACCAATTTTAGTCTTAACAAACAGGCATTTAACTCTCCACTCATATTTTACATTCACTGGCAGGTGTCCGTTCTGAAGAACCGTGTTAATATTGCTAGTGGTACACCTAGCAGGTATTTTGGCTCTCCGTGTTGTGTTCTACTTCGTATTATCTTTGCATCAATGTGTCTTTTATTGCTTTATAAAATTCTTTTCAACTATTTACAGGATCAAGAAATTGATTGATATGGAGGCACTAGGCTTGTCGCGGTTATCTGTCCTTGTGCTGGATATGCAAATGGATGTCAAGGGCTATTCACTGCTAACACTTCCTCAAGTCAGGTTCGGTTTGACCGAGTTCATTTTGGTATTGTGCATGAATAGTTTTGTTTTATGAAACAAGGTGTCTGTGAGCTCGAGTTGGCTAGTTTAGATGAGGAAACAAACTGCCAGCAGAATTTCCTTTTTTAGGGAGGGATTGGATCCATATTTTAGGGTTGTGAATTTAGCTAGGTGCTAGTTGGGCGCAAGAGTGGAGAAAGCCTGCCCGGGAGCCCTTAAACCGGAGTACCAGACACCTAACCCACCTAGAAAGTTCTAGGAGCTTGTAGTCAACGCCTGTGCTATTTTTTCTAGTCAGCTCTGCGTATACGGAGACATTGTTTATATTCTATGTGCTATGGAAATGAAAATATAATTATTATAATGGTTATCTTATATGATTTGGACAGAGATGAGATGTGGGATTTGTACAAGAGCTATTTTCATGAGAAAGTACTGGAGGGTACCCTGCGTATGTGCCTCTATGGACCATTACCAAAGATATCCGAGGCCAGAAAGGTTATTGATGAGTGATGAGTATGACCAACTTCAGACTCTTTACATCAATGAAGAAATGCTATCTATGGAGTATTCCTTCTCTATCTTTCCAGGATAGATAATTGTGGATTTAATGGGTTAAGATGCTTTACCACATTCATACCAGTTAAAGTTTTATGTGTTCATATATTGTCCTGTGGAATCATCTCTGTCCCAGACAATAGAGATTAGACTGATCATTTGTAATTGTAAAACAAATCAAAGGCTTTTTTAACTTTATCATGCAGAGAGATGTCAACTACTTGATGCTTTTGACTCACAACATATCATTTCTCTACTCAATAATAAAAAATAAATTCAGCACAACTTGAAATCATATTATGGTATTTGTTAAAATCAGAGTGAGGTCAAACACAGATTGATAAGTAAATGGCTCCAAACCTTGAAATAAAACTCTAATGGAAATGCTTTCAAAATGAAAATTTAAAATCACCTTGAGGCTTGAGAGTAGGGCTGTTAGCGAGCCGAGCTTGAACACCCAAAGCTCAAGTTCGGCTCGATAAGGAATTAGTGGTGTTCGGGTTCGAGCTTGAAGCTCGGCGAGCTTTACAAATGAGGCTCGTGTACGGCTCGATAGGCGTTCGATGTTTGAACCGAGCGCTCGATAAACTCGATAAATATGCTCGATTTTAAAATTTTATGTGATGCTCGTTAATAGGTTCGTGCTCGAATGATTCGACAAGTATTCGATTTGTTAATAATCATATTTAAATTCATAAAATCATATTAATTAAATTTAAAATTTGAAATATATATAAATTATATTTATAATTTCAGGGTGTTCGATAGACTCGAGTTCGAACCGAGCCAAATACTACTATGTTCGAGCTCGGCTCGACTAATTTTTTGAACTTTAAACTCAACTCGGGTTCGAGTTCGAAATCTAAGCTCAGTTCGTTAGGTTCGAAATCGAGCTGGAACTCAAGTAGTTCGATAAAAACTCGGTTCGTTAACAGTCCTACTTGAGAGGTAGAATGTTAAGTAAGTTCACCCACCAATTGAATGAAAATCTTAAGTAATGGAAATAAAAGTATATTAGCAATGATAAAAGTTAGTTTTGTTTCAAAAAACAGAAAATAAACTAATTCTAACATCAAATCCCAAGGCATACTAAAAAGAATCATAAAGTTTAGTGTCAAGAGCATAATGTTTGATTACTTTAGGATAAGCCATAATCATATTGCAAGCTAACAAACTGGATTTGACCATACCATCATATAGCTGCACTAAAAAAACGAAGAGAAATTTCACCTTTGCATTTCATCAAACATGAGATATGCAAAATACAAGAACACAAAATGAAAGTGAAAATAAAGGTGTGATGTAAAGCTTTGGTTATCACAAATATTATCAACTCCTCGTGACTAATTTGAGTAGCTCCTAATTGCAAAAAAAAAAACCCAAGAAATGGCAGATTGGAAAATAGAGACCTCTGCATTTACATTAGGATTAGAAATTACCCTCATATGTGTTCTTCTTTTAATGAATTCTTAATAGATATACATGCATTCTACATAAATTCTTTGCTCTCATCCGTTTTATAGTGCCTCCGGAATATGAAACATAAATTCAAACAAATAGACAATGAATTCAAACTTAACTGCAAACAAATGAATTATTACAATTTCTATGAAACTTCCACCCAAACGGAGTATGAATCTAATACATAAAAGCCTTTAAACTTGCATATCAAACCCTTCTTGTGACATGCTCTTTACGTAATCGGATGCCTCTTGACTCTTGAGTTATAGGATTGCAATAGCCCTTACCGTTCCGACAAAAATGTACATCGTTGGTGGACCAATGAGGTGAATGAGAGAAGAATTGTACAAGAGGCGATGTGGAAGATATGATTTCTCATGGGTCGGGGCAATCAAACAATTATAGAGATTGGAGAGGAGAAATAGAGGTAACATTAGGTGCCTTGTCATAGAAAATTGGTTCGCTATGGAAAGATTGATAGAGTCTGGTTGCGATAGTGGAGGAGGAGAAACGAAAGAAGAGAAGAAACGGTGAAGAGTGTGAACACATCGGGAGAGGAGGTGAAGAACGGCGGAGATTGTTTTGGTGAGCGGATGGGATGCTTCTCATGCTAGGCGGGAATACGGTTCGGTGAACAGTAAAAAATGTTTTGCTTTTATGTATTAGATTAGATTAGATGTGTTTTGTTGAACGGATGGGATGCTTCTGATGCTAGGCGGGAATACTGTTCAGTGAACAATAAAAAAATGTTTTGCTTTTATGTATTAGATTAGATTAGATGTGTTTTGTTGAACGGATGGGATGCTTCTGATGCTAGGCGGGAATACTGTTCAGTGAACAATAAAAAAAGTTTTGCTTTTATGTATTAGATTAGATTAGATGTGTTTTGTTGAACGGATGGGATGCTTCTGATGCTAGGCGGGAATACTGTTCAGTGAACAATAAAAAAATGTTTTGCTTTTATGTATTAGATTACATTGGATTAGATTAGATTATTATTATTATTATTATTATTATTATTATTATTATTATATTATGAATATGAATATATGAGCATACATAGGGGGTGTTTGGATCTAATTCTTAAAACAGTTTCTGCTCCTTCAGGGAGCAGAAACAGAAGTTAGAGTGTTTGGGTGAAAGTGCACAAGTACTTATGGTCTCTACTCTCTAATTTACTCCTAGAAGCAGTTTTTTTAGAAGCTGAGGGAAAACATCTTCTGAAAACTGATTTTGAATCTGCTTCTGCTTTAAAAAAGAAGTAGAAGGAGAAGCAGTTTCAAACACCCCCATAAATGAGCAAACTAGAGGAAAAATCACCAAACTCAATTGCATGCTTTTAATACTCAATAGAGAAGTTATGATGCTCACATAAATTGTTTAGATGCTCAACTAACAAAACTTACGATTTTCATGTTAATGTTCATTTTGTAAGTTACATGCTCATTTGGTGTTGTATTATGTTCATTTTAAAATGTAATATCAATGCATATTTCATAATTATCATATTACAGTGAATTCACACATTGTAATTAATTAGAATTGATATAAACATAATTCAAGAAACTTTTATAAAAGAAAAAACAACATAAAAATGTGAATTAGAAAACATGAAACAGAGATAAGATGCTCATTATTAGAGCATCCCCACATTCATGTTGTAACACCGTCCCCAAGTACATTTACTTTTGTGTAAATTATGTATTGAACCTTGAGAAAATTGTTAATGAATTTACGAGGTTGTAAATTTTTGTTATTACTTTTGCGTGTACAGTAAATTGCACATGGGGCCCACACCGAGAACGGGGAGCACCCGATATTCCGGGACCACATATTATATTCAGCTTGGTCTAGATAAGATATATATGGTGGTGGATATTCTGGTTGGGCCGTAGAAAAGGCCCAGGGTTTACCGGTTGGTCAAACGAGGCCCAATTGCTGATATTGGTAATTTATCAGATAACGGTCCGGAATAAATTACGGGGACTTCCAAATTAAAGTTGGGGAATGTATATTCATTCTAAAGGACCCATGGTGATTTAGAACATTACATATATTTTATTTCATCCGATAAAATAAAATATAATTAAAACAGTCCGAGAAATATAACTTTCGGGGCTGAATTTACACTTCGGGACATATTGGGATGACCTCCCACATGAGTGGGGGTCACCCCAAGTTTTTGTGTGCTCAAATGGACAATGAAGAATGAGTGGTTGATGTTAGAAGGGACGGAGAGTGTTGACTTGAGATGTTTGGCATCTAGGTGGGTCATTAGGGGCCTCCTCCCCCACTCATTGCTTTATTGAGACAAAGGAAGTCTCAATCCCTTTTCTCAATCACCAACTCATCCAAAGCACCAAGAAGGAGAGAGAAGCTCTGCAAGCACCTACCTCCATAGCTAAACTCGGGCTCAAGAAGGGAAGGTCCAAAAAGGGGGTTTCAAGAAGGGAAGAGTGAAGAAAAATGTGAAGGATTAATATATTCACCTTAGAACAACTTTTCTCTACTCATTTGATTCTCATATGACTTATACATCATATGGAGGATCCCTGGGATTTTTTTAAATGTTTAGAAGTGTAGAATGAGGGGTTGGAAGGTAGTTCTAAGTCCAAGAACGGACTTAGAAGCCAAAGTGATCGGTTCACCGGAAAATAACCTTTTAGAGGTTATTTGTATTGATATGGGTTTTATGATGTTAAAACCTTATTAGGAATTTGTCTAAGGTGTTCCTAGTACTTTCACGGAGTTGAAAGAGTCACTGGAGTCATCGCCGGAGTTCATCAAAGTTCACCGGAGTTTCGCCGTAGTTCAACCGTGAAGGGTAGAACTTCATAAAGCTCATTCGAGGTGAGTTGACGGCTTAATGTCTTGTAACTCTTGGTTTAAGCATGAAATCACCTAAATAAATGTTATATGTGATCATAATGATGTTTAAAAGAGTTTAAACATGTGATTTGCCAAAGTGATTAAGCTTATATGAAATGGACTATTGAGTCGTGCATGAAAAATATGATATGAAAATGTTTATAAAACATATGTGATGTTTTGAAGGATAAAAAGGGCATAAATGGTTGTTCGTAACTTAATATATACACATTGTGATTAAGTTTGAAACGAATTGAACTTGAAATGGCAGGTCAACGAAACGTTGACCGGTTGCCCAGGGGGCAATCGGCGCCGGTTATGGATTTAATCGACACCGTTTTGAGGACGAGGTTTACTGATTAATTAATTTAATAGTGAACCGGATCTGGTTAGGTGTTGAACTGGCGTCGGTTCGGCCCAGTTTTGCCGGACGGGTTATTTTTTATGCGCTTTGCATGGATGATTATGATTAGGCCTTAAGACTTTGTTTAGTCCTGATTATTGATTATGATATAGACCCTATCTAGTCTAGTATGATATGTGGTAGATCATAGGTCAGTGGAGTACTTGGGGATCGAACGTGTGTCCTCAAAACTCGGTTATGTCGGGTGGAGTACCTAGGGATCGGGCGTGAATCTTCAAAACTCGGTTATGCCGGGTGGAGTACCCAGGGATCGGGCGTGTATCCTCAAAACTCGGTTATGTCGAGTGGAGTACCCATGGATCAGACATGTATCCTCTAAACTCAGTTATGTCGGGTGGAGTACCCAAGGATCGGGCGTGTATTCTCAAAACTCGGTTATGAAGGGTTGAGTACCCAAGGATTGGGCATGTATCCTCAAAACTCGGTTAGGTCGGGTGGAGTACCCAAGGATCATGTGTGTATCCTCAAAACTCATAAATTACAGTTTGGTAATTCATGACTGGGTGGTGTCCTTATAATATTTGAGTTGGACCAGGATGAGTCCTATACACTCATAGGTATAGGGGTGGGTTGAGATTTAAGTCAAGGACATTGACTACTACTGTTTTTCTCAGATAAACAATGACCTACGGGTCAGGTATTTCCAAGTATATATATACGGATATGTATTTCATAACTTCGGGGAAAAGACTATATGTGTATGTATCACCCTATGTTTGGGTCTTATACTTGAAACGTTAGTTATGCTACATTCAGCCTACTTCTCGCTCGGTATTCGTGTACTGACCCCTTTGGGGGCCTCCATCATTTCAGTTTGAAGCTAAAGCTTGCTATCCGCACCTTGCACGGTGAAGTGATTCGAAGGAAGATGTGGTTCGTCCTTCCTTTACTGTTTTCAAACTACGAACTATGCTCATGGATATTTATGTAACGAATACATTGTTTTGGGCCTGTGAGCCCACATCTTGGCCATGTATGGCCCATGATTGATTATTGAATATTTCCGCTATTCATTTAATCCAAGTTGTGATGTTGTTATGTATGTTTACTTATTGAGTATGGTATGGACTAAGTTCATTGACGCCTTGTATGATCAAGCGATGTTGACTTGCGAATGACGTCACTTGCTCATACGGAGGTTGTACACGCGCTTAGATGTGCTCTGGGGCGTGACACATGCTACTTAAATAAACAGATTTTTTCATGACTCATATTTTTTCAAACTAATCTCATATCATCTAAATTACACCATTCATCATCTCAAAATAATTTTGAGATAATCTGGATTCATATTTCAATCCCGGATTATTTTGTCAAATAATCTCCATCACCCAATCATGATCCCAAAAAAAATTGCCACATCACCAACTTAATCCTATAATAATCAAATGGATGGAGATGCCCTAAGAATATGATTGATGCTCACCAAAATTTCATTAATGCTCATTTAGCGGAAGTCGTGAATTTCACTGAAATTACCAAAAGGCCACCAACTCTATGTTGCAAGCTATACGATTATACAGACTCCTATTTCCTCCTTAAATGATGTGTCAAATACTAATGTAGTAATCTTTCAAGCACAGACAAAATAATATTTAAATTGATGAACGTACCGCATATACAACCGTCAAAATGGGTCAAACCCCGTGGGCTGGCCCGTTTACACCCATTTATTGGTGGGTTAAGGTTGTGAATTTTTGACACATTTAGTTCGCGGGTTTCTTGGGTCAACCCACGTGGGTTGCGGGTTTAAGTGGGTTGGTCCAACGCGTTGCGAGTTGGCCCGCAAGACAATATACACATATAGTTTTGACTTTTATTATTTTTAATATTGTTCTTTTATTACCAAAATCATTATAATTGCAATTGAAAAAATTACAAGCATTGCAAAATAATTATTATTTCTATAATAAATATTCAAATAAAATGTCGAAACATATATTTTATGTGAAGTTCGATACAACATTTAACAATTACTAGCCATGTTTTACAAATAATCAATCAAAAAGCGCAAATAGATTTTTACTTTAATACAATGAGTATTTTAGTTACATACCCTCTTATAACTTTCAAGTTATCGTATAACTAGTATTTAATATTTCTTTAATTAAACTTAACATGTATTAGGTTCTTAGTATTTTGACTTCTTATATTTCCTTTATCACGAGTGACTAATAGAAATTTATACTCTAGGGTAATGAATTTTAGAAAATCTTGTGTCATATATTATTTTACATTGATCCGCGGGCCAACCTGTTTAACCCACGAGTCAAGTGGGTAGAGTTAGGATTGTAGAAATTCTGGTCTGTTATTACACGGCTTGACCCGATCCAACCGTCGTGGGGTAGGGTCAAATTGAGTCGGGTTGTCCCTTTTGACAGCTCTAACTACGTAGATAGTAATTTGGTGGCTCCGAATATAATCACTCTCTTTCATTTAATAGAAATTGTTCAAAATAGGAGCAAAAACGTTTTGAAATTCCAAAATAGGAGTATCATTTTTTTTTATTCTCTGAATAGGAGTAATCTGCCAAGTTTGAAAAAAATGTCATATTTAAAGCCTAATAATGCCAAACTTGGCAGAAATTTACTTCTAAGGAATAAAAAACATGATAATCCTATTTTGATATTTCAATTTTTTTATATTTCTATTTAGAGAATTCTCACTTCATTTAGCCGGTGTCAAAATTAGGATGGATTTGGGCTTGCGAAGGAGTGATGCGTCCGCCGGAACTTGTATTGCAAATAGGCCCATTCAGTAAACAAAAACAGCCATACTCGGGAATAGGCCCATATCAGCTGAGGAAAGCTAAAAGCGGTTAAACGACTAGGGAAGGATATCGCCTGCACCGGCTTCTCTGCTCGACTGCTCGAATCTCACCACCGAAGGACGTCCGACGGTCAGAGTGTTGTTTCGGACGGAACTCGCTAGTCGCCTCTCACTTCTCTGGCTTGGGAAGTTGGGCTTTTCGCAGAACGGCAGAATCACAGGTGAGGGTGTTTTTTTTTATCTTTTTAGGGGTGTTTGGATTTTATTCTTAAAGTTGGAGTGTTTGGGTAAAAGTGAAGAAGTGATTCTGTTGCTCTAATTTACTCCTAAAATCAGTTTTTTAGAAGCGGGTGTGTGTGACCGGCTTCTGAAAACTGATTCTGATTCTACTTCTCTTTTTTAGCAGAATCAGAATCAGTTCCAAACACCCCCTTATTCTTTCCACAATTCTACTTCTAGCTTATTAGCTATTTAGATTATATGATTGTATTTTACGGAGTACAGAGTATTATTTATACAGTATCATTCTATGTTTTAATTTTTCATGTGTGAGTGCAGGATGGCCAATTTTTAAATTTTTAAATGTTAGTTGATTCCTGCTTGTTGTTTAATTAGGGTTATCAGAATTGCAATTATGGAATTATCAATTCACACTAATTAAATTATATGCTTTGTAGTTTGTAGAGAAAGTTACTAATACACTATCTATATTGTTAAGGATTCCACCAATTTTTGTGTATTTATTTTTTAGCATCATGCCTCTGAAATCTTTATCTGAATTTCAGAAGAGGAAAAGAAATCATGTACTGAACCATTATTTCAAAGTCAGGCCGGAAACATTAATAAGTATTTGATTTCAAATAAAAGAGCAACTTCATAGACTACATCGTCAAAAAATTTAAGGATTAATTACATTGATTGTATTGTATGGGTTAAATCTAGTAAATAGATTTATACATTTACAAAGCATATGTTTTCAATAGGTTATTAGTTATCAGTTTATAACACTGTATCAATGAAAGAAGAATATGAAGGCATGGAGCTATCTGAGATGGTTAGATTCACAGGTGTACAAAATAAACGAGTATATAGTTTCTGTGTTCCACCACTTCCTCTCCGGGGGACCCAAAATGAAACGTCTGGGAACCCAATAGGTTATAGTTTCAAGAGTTGTTCAACTCTTGGAACTAATAATAATGGTACTTATCTTGACCTCTTGCTTATGTAAAAGCTAATCCTAACATCTTATACTTTGGCTTCTCTGAACAGACAAAATGATGAAGCAGCAAAGACAGAAATCTGAGCATTCCAAAGCTGCCACTCTAGATGACCCAGATGTAAAAGTGGACTTCAAGTCTATCCTGAAAGACATCCAATTTTTAGGTAAATTAGTGCAGCTATATTTTTTACTACTGTGAAATGTATCAAATTGTATTGCGAAATGCTTAATTATTGGCCAATAGTTATTGCTGCTTTTAATATTTGATTTGAATCTTTGGGAACCAAGGTAGTCAAAAGCGAGCGCCTGGTCGCTTAAGCGCACCAGGCGCAACACACATGAGGCTTAGCAACTGAACAACGTCCAAGTGTAGCTCCCTGTTTGAACCGTAGTTTAGGCGCACAAGCGCCGGAGCTGATAAAAGCACACGCTTATGTTGTCTGGACCGGGAAAGGCCTATGAGCCTATTTTTTGTTTAATCCTACTTTAAATAATATGGCCATACTTATAATAAGATTTTGCCTGTCCGAATAATAGGTAAAACAACTTTACCCCATATTAAACCCTTCTTAGTAGTGGGAAAAGTCTTTTATCTTGACAAAAGTTCAAAATTGCGCATTGCGTAATCGTGGAGTTTTTTTATTATTGCGTATTGCTTAAGTCTCATTGCGAAAATGTGCAACGTATACACGCTATAGTGCATCCATCACATTTGTTTAAAAACGGAGTTCTCACGTTCTCACGTTAAGCATGGTTCTCATTTGATACTAAATCTACACACACATATAGAGAGAGAGAAAGAGACAGTGGAATCTTCCGGTAAGGCCTTCCTGACCGGAACCGCCGTCCGGACGATAGTGTTTGGGGCCCTTCCCAGTGGATTTTTTGATGAAATTTTTATGGCATGTTTTCCACAAAAAATTTCAGCCAAAAATTCAACCGGGAAGGTACTCAAATAAATTTTGGAAGATAACTGCGCCAAAATATACATATAAAACGCAATTATCTTCCAAAAATTATTTGACTTCCTTCCCAATTGAATTTTTAGCTGAATCTTTTTTTGGATAAACTAGATTTGATGAAGAACATACCTAAAAATTTCATCAAAAATTTCCACCGGGAACCGCCCCAAACGGCGGCATCTGGACGGCGGTTCTTGTCCGGAATTCCGGACCTAAACTTTTATCTCTCTGTATATATATAGATTTAGTATCAAATGAGAACCATGCTTAACGTGAGAACGTGAGAACTCCACTTTTAAAAAAATGTGATGCATTATAGCGTGTATACGTTGCACATTTTCGCAATAAGACTTAAGCAATGCGCAATAATAAAAAACATCACGATTACGCAATACGCAATTTTGAACTTTTGTCAAGATAAAAGACTTTTCCCACTACTAAGAAGGGTTTAATATGGGTTTAAGTTGTTTTACCTATTATTTGGACGGGCAAAATCTTATTATAAGTATGGGCATAGCTTGAGAACCATGCAAAATGGCTCACTAAACTGTCTGCGCTTCTTTGTTATGAAGCAACAGTCAGTCCATGCAATTTTGGACGGGATTTTCACTATGGGTCATCCGGAAACAGTCTCTCTGTGCTTTAGTACAGGGGTAAGACTGCGTACATCCGACCCCCCCTTACCCCACCGTAGGTGGGAGCCTTTGTGGCACCGGGGTAAATGAAAATGAAAATGAAATTTATAAATCTGCCACCATGTTTGTTTGATGTTGGCATGTTTGGACCAATATTTAAAAAGTGTAATATGTGAGCCTCATAGTGCACCATATTATGTTAAAAGTGCATGGTTCTCACGTTTTCATGTTAAGCGTGGTTCTCATGGTTTTCATATATATATTGTCTATGTGTGTTTGCGTTTATAAACACTATTAAAAATAGGCAAAAGTACTCATCAAATGTAATATAAAACCAAATTATAATGAGGAAATAATCTTGGTAAAGTAATACGCTCAAAATTCAAAGCATAGAGTAGTCCAAAAAAGTTGAACCGTCCTAAAATTCTGAATATGTAAGATTATTAGATTGACGATTTAAAAAATGAATCATATATTACATTCCACTAGCATTTCTTTCATTATCAAGGTCAAGATCAAAAGCGTTATCATCAACGTCCAGCTCTTCATCTTAATCAGCTAAGTGCAATTTCCCATTTCGTTTATCGGGGCGCTTTCTATTTTGCCCTTGACTGTGTCGCCCCCATGGCCTTTTACATGACCCATTCCACTCCCACGACCAACTTCTTGACTTCAATGATGGTCACGCCCAGCACTAGCTCCATCACCATCGTCAAAATCACGAGCATCATCACTATCACCACCACTAGGATTCGGTTCATCTTCATCAACCACTCATTTATCATCCGATGCAATCTCATCCATTACTGAAGGTTTGATGCCTTCTTTTAAGTGACACTTTTGTCATCTATTTTCTCTTTAATATCTTATTATACATCACAAATACCAACTTGATCAAATTGCTCGTATGTAGATGATTCCTTCTCTGGGTATGTATGTATAAGTATATTAGTTAAATTTTATTATTTGCTTGACTGATTCATATTTGTATATGTTAACAGTTAATACATATACATATGTACATATGTATTAAATTTAAGATTTATACACACTTTAATACCTGATTAAATGTGCTCCAGTTATGTTCGCAAGCAGACGATGAACATATCAGACTCAAAACTCTACCAGCAAAAGTAATTTCGGAGTCTGATCCCCGTATTGAGATCACCAATCCACTACAGTCATTCAAATAAAATTATGAGATAGACTACAAAAATTGAAGTTTAATGAATAAACTTTTCATACTAGGACTACACTTATTGATAGTGCTTTTCGCCATCGAAGAATCCCCTTTTCAAATGGTAATCATCCATTTGCAAATGTATCTTCTCCTGGACCTCACGGTCTGAAAACATTTTGGCCACACAATTGAACAAAACAAATTTAATCTCTAGATTAGTGGACATATTGGGATCATATTGATACTGTGGATTAAGATGATATGTTGTTGCATGCAAATTGCGATGCATTTGAAATTCCTATTTCTCATCTATTATGTTCCGAATTTCTTTATAGGCAGCCGAATCCTCACTCAAATTTGTAGTTATCTCTTCTCTGGCACGATCCATAGAACCATATACAAATCCCATACCAGCAACCTTCTTTGAGTCCGCCATCCTCAACACACTAAACAAAGACTTGCTTTCTTGATTGCATAAGCCATGCTCGACCAAAAATATTTGTCCCTGACCACAATTTGTTTCACCGCCTTTGCTTATGTTATTTTGGACATGTGATGAGATGACCATTCTTTAGAAACAAACATTTCTTCCAAATCATCTTTTGCATTATGCATGCTTTGCAACATGAGGTAACAAATCTAGTGGGAGCAAGACGAATAAGATCTCTTTTAAGCATTTGTCGCATCAAAGCCAGTGCTCATCCATAATTGTATATTTAATGAATCACCTTTAAGTTATACATTATAAAATACATTATAAAATTATTAAATTTATGTTACTATTTTGCAATTTCAAAAACAATAATTAAATTTTAGACTTGTACTTCCGTTTTTAGCCTTTGCTTCGCATTCTTGTGTTGTGGGAGCTCCCCAATTTTCTCGAGCATCAAATCATTGCAATGAGCTGCACAAGGTGTCCACCAAAGACGTTGTCGCTTTGCCATCAATAATTTTCCAGGAGTTTTATAGTTCGAGGCATAATAACTTGCGTAACAATATCTTCCCCAAACTCTTCCACAACTCTAGAAATTTACACAACATCCGTGGATGTTTTACGTGGTTCGAGGCATCAACAAATTTCAAAAAAACTGTTTCATATGGATTATTGACGAGAAAGTTGATCAGTTGTCGTCAAGTCGTATCTTTCCACCCATCAGACAATATAGACACTATAGTTTGTCCATGTCAGCTTGAAGGGCTATCATATCTTCTTTTACATAAACAGAGGGACATGGTCTTAAATCTTAATTTCTTCTCGTGCAGGCAAGATGATTCTTTAATCCACTTAGCCCTCGTGTGGTCTCTTGACTGCAATAGTGACATTTTATATATTTGTAAGACTTCCCCTTTAACCCTTCTCGTTTTATTTCCTCTCCATGTTTCCACGTTGGATCTTTACTCGACATTGTAGTCAGACTAGAAAAACTACATGGTTGCGGAAAACGTGAAGCTGACATGGACACAAACTGGAGTGTCTATATTGTATGATGGATGGAAGGATATGCGTGGATGACAACTGATCAACTTTCTTGTTAATAATTCATATGGAATAGTTTTTTTAAATTTTTTGATGCCTCAGGCCACGTAAAAAATGCAAGAATGTTCTGCAAGCTTCTGGACAGTGTTGTGAAAGAGGTTGGGGAAGATATTGTTAAGCATGCGGCAACTGATGATGCATCGAGCTATAAAGCTGGGAAATTATTGATGGCGAAGCGACAACATCTTTTGGTGGACACCTTGTGCAGCTCATTGCATTGATTTGATGCTCGAGAAAATTGAGGAGCTCCCACAACACAAGAATGCGCTAACAAAGGCTAAAAAGATAAATACAAGTCTAAAATTTAATTATTGTTTTGAAATTGCAAAATAGTAACATAAATTTAATAATTTTATAATATTTAACTTATAGGTGATTTACTATATATACAATCATGGATGGACACTGGCTTTGATGTGACAAATGTTTAAAAGAGATCTTATTCGTCCCGTTGCCACAAGATTTGCTACCGTTAATCTCACATCGCAAAGCATGCATAATGCAAAAGACGATTTGAAAGAAATGCTTGTTTCTAAAGAAAAGAATGATCATCTCACCACATGTCCAAAACAACATAAGCAAAGGTGGTGAAACAAATTGTGATTGGTGATAAATATTTATAATATTTTCGGCCGAGCATTACTTATGCAATCAAGACAACAAAGCCTTTGTTTAGTGTGTTGAGGATGGCGGATCCAAAGAAAGTTGCTGGTATGAGATTTGTATATGGTAAAATTTGGGTGAGGACCCGACAGCCTATAAAGGAATTTTGAACAACATAAGATGAGAAGTGGGAATTTTAAATGCATCGTGATTTGCATGCAAAATCATACTATCTTAATTCACAGTA